CCCTGCTCTATTTACCTGCATAAACGAGTGATAAAGCACAATTATATATCAGACACTTGTTGAATTTTTTTAAGTTAAAATTTGGACATTGTATGGCAAAACATTTCGAATATCATTATTTTTATGCGATATTAAATTCTTACCAGGAATGGATTTTGATATTTAATTACTGAATTATTTCTTAGCATTAACTAACAAAAACTTGATGTAAATCAATTATTATCTTCTGATATCGCACTATTAGTTCTTCTTTTTCTTTTTTGATGACCGGAAGAAATGTAAAAATATAAGGGTTTACACGATTTACTGTCCGCGGATTGATTTTCTATTTCAATTGGATTTTTTCGAGAAAAAATGGAATTTTTGCTGCTGAGGATTTACTGTCCATTGATTGAACAAAAAAAATATCTCGATTGGTGTTTCTTATGAGTGAGGATTTACTTATCAGTGATTAAAATGAGATAAAGAAATAAACAAGTGAATCTGCGTAAAGAGAATCAATGTTGCTCAGAAAAAAAACAGTAAACAGTATATATAGGAACAAATAAGAAAAAAAAGACAAGATTTTTTTTTCGATGGATGTTCATAACATCAAGGCTTATCAACGTTCAAGAATGCTGGAATATCAATACGACCACACCGACATCCACCCTCACACGTCATATAATATATTCTTCGGTTATTAATCCTCGGATGACTTTTTTTAGTCTAGCTGGACCAACATAATACTATTTTTCATTTTCCACAATGTTCATACGTACCATTTTCTGAATGATTTCTTTTCTAAAATTACCTCTTAAAGTTAGAAAAGAAGTGACTTAGAAATGGATCATATCAACGTAACAGGAAATGAAAAATGGCATCATGTAGGCCCAGCTGGATCTAAAATACCATCCGAGGATTAATCGTTGTTTCTTTTGTTTCGAACATTTTTTTATTGTTTTTTTTATAATCAACATTGATTCTCGTTACGCATATTCACTTTTGTAGTTCTTTCTCTTACTCTAATCAACGGAACGTAAGTTCTCATAAATAAGAAATACTAATTGGAATAACTTTTTTTCAATCAACGGACAGTAAATCCTCACTCCATAAATTCATTAATTAGAACGAATTTTATCTAATCAATGGACAGTAAATCCGCGGACAGCAAATCGTGCACACGGATTATAATATTCTCATCATTAAAATAATGTATCCGCTATTTTGTGGTAGTTCATTGTTTATGTATAAAAGTTTTCTTTAACTTAATATTTATATTCATATATCGCTGGATCATTACAAGTGGATAATTTTAAAAACAAAAAACTGCTTAGGGTATACTGCTGTTCTGATATTTGATTGATTAATTTAAAAAAATGTCTTTGTTATAGGAATAATATTCAGAGTTTCTAATTAATAGCTTGCCGCTATGCATATGTATAATGGATTACATAATTGTTTTCTTTTTGTTCGGATTTCATAAACAGAACGGATCGTGGTTTCGATTATATCAGTTGATGAACATGCTTCCAAAATAGAAATAAATGCCGTCATCTAAGTAATCTATCAAATGACATCTAAATTAGTACTTTTAAAATTTGATTTTAATCGGGATTTATGAAACTCTCAACGAAAATAAAAACAGAAATTATCTTCTGTAGATGATTAATATAATTTTGTATTCAAAACATTGTTCGTATATCTCGTGAAATGTACATATGCATTTTTTATTGATACTTTATGTTTTCATCTATCAAAACAAAAATTGTCGATCGTTTGATTTTTAATATAAGTTAATATTCTATATGTAAAATAAAGAAAATACTAGAATTAACAGTTTCTATAAAAGGAATTGAATTACATATTTTGAAATTTATAGGAAAAAGAATTGATAAAGAAACAAATAATTGTTCTCTCTAAGACACTTGAGTATTGATATAACATGAAAAAATCGAATACTGTATTATGAATGGCAAATACTAGATGATAATTTTCATCGTATAGATATGATAAACATCTATATTGATGTCTAAATAAAATTGTACGAAAAAAAAGTACATTTCTGTATTATATCTATGTGATTATACAAAATCTTTAGATTTATCATCATCCTCGTTGTTCATATTAGAGATGGTATATGAATTATTTTTTCTTTTCTTTTTTAAAGGTTTTTTTTTTGTAAATTAAAACGATTGAAGTATACATTATTGCTTCGAGATATTGCAATGGTTGATATCAAATAAATATAGTTTTCAGCGACATGTTATCATTATTCATCATGAACATCAATTCAAAGGCTCTTTAAAAAACAGATGATCAAAAAAAATCGAATTCAAATCTATAAATATAGACATACATATGTTCAGTAGAAAAAATAATATTTACATCAACGATTCTCTGTTATATTTCAGAGAATTCCAATACAAAGTAAACGTTTTAACATTTTTGAAGTTAATGAAAATCTTTTTACTATTCTAGATAATATTGAGAAAAAAAGTAAAGTTGAAATCATTATCTGCATGAATCTTTAATATATGATTAATAAAGTTGACAAATAAAATTCTACAATGCTCAATTTTTATGTATTTTGAATAAATTAACGTTTTGAAAAAAAATATTTTCTTTCATAGATAATTAGTTTATTATTTTATTCAATTTTCAACTATTGAAAATAACGAAGTCCAGCATATTTTTAAAATTTTTTCTACTAGTTTGACTTTTTTCTAATTTATCCCATAATCGGCGCCCATCTTTCATCCCCCCTAACAAATCGAATAGAATGATTTTAAAAAAAACTTTCGTCTTAAGAAGCATTAAAAAAAATTCTATTTTGCTTTTGATATTGTGACTGTTTTTTGTTGGACAAGAATTTTTCTGAGCCCCCAATTAGAAACATTTGAGCCCTGTTCGTTTTAATTGAGCCCGATGAAAATTCTTCGGGCTCAAAAAAAAATTGTGTTCTTTTTTAATCACGAAATGTGAAATGAGCCCGATTATTTATTATTTTGAGCCTGCTATAGTTTATTTATTTTGAAAACATAACATAATTCTTAATAACAGAAAAAAATTAACGAGATAAAGCTGGTCCTGCTTTTTTTGGTCGTCCACGTCGTTTTCCTAAACTTTCTAATTTATTTGGATCAGATATAATATATAAACCAAAATGAATTGAAATACCAACTGCATGTTTGCATACATATGTTTTTAAATTTGTTTTGCAACTGCACATCATTGGTAATGTAACAAGTCGACCAGCGTAGAACCATTTTGAAAAATCTTCAAATTTTTTCCATGGAAATGTTGCATATTCTTGTAACCATAAAGATGAACTATAATCTTTGGTGCTCGTGTTGTTGCTGCACGATGAGCATGATCATGTTCATTGGATGTTGAAACTGTTACTCCATCATCATGAGAAAAAATAACTTTTACTTGAAAATCACATTCAGGATATTTTCTATACTTTGAACATCTATATATGACCTTCTTTCCAGCTTCAATTTCTTCTGTACGTTTTATAGATACAGTATTTTGTACAATATAAGATAGGAGTTCATCTTCACTGGAAAATTTGTCGACAAAGTTCCATGTTCGTTTAACCATGATGAAATGTTTAAGACATTTAATAACAAAGGTGTAATAAATTCAAAATCATATATATTAATTCATTTTCCAATAAAATTCAAGAAAGTCGAATTTTGATAATATTCTATTTTTTTATAACTTAGGATAATGAATCAATCAGATAAAAGGCGCGTTTCTATTTTCTTTCATCAACATAAATACTCATCTCAATATCAACATATTTCTTGCTTGAATAATCTTATTGAAAATATAAAATAAAATTGTGACATGTTCAACGAACCATTTATTAATTGAAATTGGTAAGTTATATGAATTATAGTTCAGATAAACTAATGATCACAATATAGGATTAAGAAATGTGTTATGTAATACAATATTAATATTCCATTTAGTCAGATTAAGGATTTGCTACACCTTTTTATTTAATATACTTGTTAGTAAATCCTTCTAGAAATATTAGACATCAGAATTGGACTATTAAACATGAGTAAAAATAAATAAATAAACTATAGAATCCTTTTAATAAATTTTTACGACCATTTGAGATAAGAAACAAACCTTTGAGCTGGAAAATAGTTTTTTTAGTTTATGTATTCAATTACGAACTATTGATAA